CAGAGGCAGAATTAATTAAAGAATGTATAGTCAAATGGGCACAAATTTTTGGTGAACCAGTTCTACTAGATACCTGGGAAATTATTTGGGTGAGGAATGTCAAATTTACACAAGCCCAGAATTTAAGGGAGAATTTTTATAAAATGTTTTACAGATGGCACCTTGATCCACAAAAAATGTCTCGTATGTATCCTGACTTACAGCCTAAATGTTGGAGATGTGGTTGTTTGAATGCTACTTACTATCATATTTGGTGGTCGTGTAAAAATATAAAAGCCTTTTGGATTAAGATATGGTGGAATATTCAAAGAATTTTCAGAAGGAGGGTAAAATTTACCTCACAATTGTTTTTATTAGGTATTGTTACCGACTGTGATATTAAAGAGACTACATTGATGTTAAATTTAATTACAGCCGCAAGGCTGCTAGTAGGGCAATGTTGGAAGAAGGAATCTCTGCCTACTTTGCAAGAGTGGTTTTTTAAAGTTTCTTATTTGGCGGAAATGGCAAAGATTTCGGCTTTCTTGAAGGATCAATCGCAGGAGAAGTATTTTGCGGTATGGGAAAAAATGGATAGATTTTATACAATATAAGTTGGATGTTAAAAATATTATTTAGCTTTTCAATAACTTATATTTAAAATTTAAAATATTTTTTAGATTTTATTCTTTTTATTTTTTATTTTTATTATACTTTCTTTTATTTTTTTATTTTTTTCTCTTTCTTTATTCTTTTTTCTTTCAAGTATTATTCTTTTGGTAGTTATGTTTTTTTATATACATAGTATTGTTAATTATCTTATAACTTGTTTAATTAATGTATTTAGTATTTAGATTAATTTATGGTTTACATTTTCTTTTACATTATTTGAAGAAATTTTAATTAAGCCTATGTGTAGCTCTGGGAAGGTTGGGGGAGGGAATGGGAGGGTTGGGGAGGTTTGGGGATGGGTTGTTTTGGTTTTTTTTTGTAAAATTTTAAAACTTAATAAATATTTACAATAAAAAAAAGGAACCTGAAATTTATACTGCTTATGATCTTTCATTCCATCTTTTAATACACTTGAATAAAAATTAAACATATGATTGCACTGATTTATTCAAAATAGCATTCAGTTTGTATGGGCATCACTTAAGGATTTCTTTTGCTATTATTTTGTCATTATTTTTTCATTTTGTAGTATAGAGCCCATGGGCCAGTATCTTCTGTTTAGTAGACATATGGAAACAGTGCAAATAACAGACTGATCGATAACTCAGGAGTTTATTAAAAACTGGGCCTCTTTAATATTTTTAGTATTTTAGTAAGGCTAAAAGAATCCGGCATCTAGTGGCTACGTTCAGGATACGATAGGTTAAGTTCTAATAATACATCTCTTCTGAGCCCCACTTTTTAATGATTACCAAGAGCCATGGTATTCTGTGGATTTTTTTTATTTAGTTATTAAATTTATATACCACCCATCGTGCTATCCAAAGTGACAAGTTACATAGTAGACAGGATGTTGCAGGGTAGCAATTGACATATGATCAACAAGTTAATGAACCTTGGTTTCTATCTATTTTGGTGAACAATGAATAGATTAGTGCATGTACACAGAAAAAAAATCATGAGATAAAGTTTATTAGAGAACAGAAATAAATTGATTCATAAAAATAAATAATTGAACAAAGTAAAATAAGGAAATAATGCACAATATAGCAATTAGCAAGCTATATGTATATATATATATCAAGGTCCATATAAGTTGGGCGGCTAATAAATTCAAATACAAAAAAAACAACTTATAAATTCTAATGTATAATGTAATCCCACACCAATATATGCTCTATCTTACCATTTTAGAATGCAGCTGTTCAGGAGAAAGTGGTTGATACAGTTTATCCATGATAAACCTTCCGATTTTGGAGTTGGTAGCTTTTACGCGCCTACTTACAGGATTCTTTGTGCTTAAGGAAATCTACTGTAAGAATAATCCTTGTTATTCTTGCAGAGATAACTATGAAAAAGCTCTTCGGGACATAATAGAAGAATGTTTGAAGAGTTCACTTGAGCCTGTTTGATTCTTCCAGAGTTATAACAGTGTTATAACCATGTCATCTAGTAGTGACATAAACATGATTGAATTTTTTATGCTTTCTAACAACCCTTGATGATAGATCAAAAGACCAAAGTAGTGCTTGCCTGGATAAATGCAAAATGTCATATTCAGATGTCCAAACGAATGGATGAAAACTAATCAAAAAGAGAAGCAATCTAGAACTAAGGAGAAATTTCCTGACAGTTAGAACAATTAATCAGTGGAACAACCTGCCTCCAGAAGTTGTGAATGCTCCAACACTGGAAGTTTTTAAGAGACTAGACAGCCATTTGTCTGAAATGATATAGGGTTTTCTGCCTGAGCAGAGGATTGGACTAGATCAGGGATCCCCAAACCTTAGTCCGTGGACCAGTACTGGACCACCACATGCCAGCAATCAGTCCGCACAAAGAAAGCCCCATCCACGAGATGCAGGCAGCACACAAAACCACAAACCTCTGGTCTGCAGAAAAACCTCTCTCCATGGAACCTGGTGCCCAAAAGGTTGGGGACCTCTGGACTAGATAACCTCCAAGGTCCCTTCCAACTTTATTATATTATTATGATTGTTGTTGTTATTAATTCTCCCTGACAGGATTTGTTTTTAAGTTCTTGATTGAATTTGGACAGCTGATGGTGATTAGTGCTACTGAAGTTTCTGAACTTCACAAGGGGAAAATTGATTAGGATGCTCAGCTCTGGGCATGTTTTGGATCAAATTAGTTTCCAATCATGCTTGTGGAATTTCTAATCTGATGAGCAATTCTAGATATAAGTGGTTGATCTCTGGAACACTAAAAAGGCAAAGGTGCTAGTAGAATTGGCCAAATAGTTTATTTCTGTGGCACTATTTAAGGTGACCTAGTCATTGATGGGGAATGAACAGCAAGTTTATGCAGTCTTTATACAAGTTTATACAATATAAGCAAGTTTACAAAAGGTTTTGTGGATAAATTTGTTGATATGGATAAATTTGTGCATATTCACTTAGAACTAGACACCTCATAGGCATACACTAATAAGAAACATGGACCAACATCTTGCATATGGGACTCTGTTGAAATTTTCAAATTTGACAAGTTGACGGTAATCCCAATAGTATGAGGTCAGCTTCCTAAGGGTTGGTTCCTCTCCCTCCTGGTTTTTTTCAGCTGCCAAGGAGGAAACAATAATGTGCTCAACTTGGGCTGCAGTTTAAAAACTCCAGTAAATGCAACTGATTCTAAATGCAGCTACTTGCTGATGAGCAAGAATCATTCACCAGAAAATGTACTGAATATTGCAGGTGCTCCATTTGTTGCCAGTAAGTTTTAAATACAATTCAAAGTATCAGTCAATAAATCAAATCTTTATTATGTTCATAGACCAAAATAAGAAAAATAAAATACAATTAGTGATTTTAAAAACTGAAAAATATAAAATAAACAAGGTTAAAACATTTTTAAAAGCTAAAAATAAACAAAAATTAAACAAGGTAAAAAAATTAATGACAGGAAAACATAAAAAATTGTATATGGCTAATTAATCTATCATAATGTAAACATTCTTAACAACAAGTTAAATATTCATTAGAGCTGGTTTGAGGTACAAGTCATCATCTGATTGATTGGGATTGTGCATTCCTGGATAGAGTGTTCATTGGATGAAGATTGCCATCTTCAATTGTAACTATAAATGCAGTAAGATTTCAAAGGCCAAGTCTTTGGCTCATTCAGCTGAAAGGAACATCCTTGGCCTTCAGGCATTTTGCATTATATGAGTGTGTGTGTGTGTGTGTGTGTTTATGTATATATAAAAAAGGAAGGCATCGCTTGCTCTAGTTTCTGCTTTCAAATTTACTGCTCAACAGGCAAAATAGAAACATCAAAATACTGAAAAAAATAGATCTGTAACAACATTAGTTTTATATTGCCCTCATTTCCTCCTAATGTTTGATTTCTGGAAAACAAGCTATTGGGATTATTTATAACAAATTTAAGACTGAAAGCCATTCCAGACCCTTTTCTCCTGTAAATACTTCATGATTAATTACTTATAATGAATTTAGATTCACTGCTTTCATAGTAGTGTCTTTATGGGATACTGTGTTCCAGAAAATTGCAGATACCACACAAAATGAAAAGTGTCATCTTTCTTGATTTGTTAAATCACATTCCCAAATTCAGTTACAACCTTTTCCTAGAGTACAAATTATTTAATATTGAATATGTAAATGATACTTTGTTGACTTTAAATACTACCAAGTTCAGTGAAAGTTGCACTTATTTAGGGGAAATTAACCACCTGACATCAAATATGACTAACCATTGACAAAACACAAAAGAAAACTGAGAGGAAAAAAAATCTTGTGATTTAGAACATTTTACAACATATAAAATACACCCACACACAAACACACACATCTGCATTTCAAACACTGGTCAGAGTCCTTAAAAAACTATGTATGTGCTTAGGTAAATTCTATTTACAATACTTAGCAACAAGGTATCTACAGACTTCACTAAAATCTATAGAAATAGTTCTGCTTAGGTTGTAAGGTTATCAAAGAAATTTGTGTTATTGAAAGTTACTTCTTCGATGCAAATTGTAATCAAATTGTTTCATAAATGTCTACTTCCTGAAAATAACCAGTATTTCAAATCAATCTGTCTTGAGTAAAGGTAAAAAGGAGGAACATAGAAATAAAAATTAATACATTATTTCAATTAATTCAATACACCCTAGTTTTTAATATTTTTAATATTTCCCAATGCTAAAAAATACCCAGTTGTATGTGTATACACATACACACTCATAAGAAATAATTTTAGCTAAAATTCTAATATGCACAACTTATATTTTACAAATCAGTTGGAAGAACAGTATACTTTGTATTTATTTAACGTATAAAAAGGAAAATAAGTCATACTGCACCCAAAGATAGAAAGCATATTATTTATTGACATTAATATACCAGAGTATATTAGAATTGCATATTGCATAAAGATAGTGATGATCTCTGTGTAGTAAAATGTGGTTAACAGTAGCATTTCTTCACATTTTATTACTTGTGCAAATGCAGCATTGAAGAAATAACTATTTACAGGCAAAAAAAATTTTAAAGCTCCATCTTGTTCTAGTTGAGCAATCTCCCTTTTGAATTTTTTCTTCTAGAACCATATGTAAACTTACGTACAACACAATTCATGTTAAGTACTTAGCTGCTCAATTAAATCTTCCACAGTATACACAATAACTTTGATATCATCTTTCTCTTTCATCCGATGTAGGCCAGATTTGCGGAGAATAATATCCACATCTCCACTGACAATATTCTCTGCAAGTTTCATAGAAATCTGCCAAGGAATATCTTCATCCTTTAAGCCATGAATAAGTCTTACAGGACACTTAATAGGTAGTGGACTGTTCAACACACAGTGATTTTCTGCTTCCTGAATGAGTTCATATGGCACAGAGTAAAATCCTTCTTCACTGTGTTTGGTTGGGAGTTTCCATACACCCTTTTCTTCTATTTCTTTTTTTGCCTAAGATGTTAAACATGTGTAAGGTTGATATATTGGAAAGAAAGGCAAAAGTGTAGGAGTGGCACACTATAAAGGATAGATGGTAACATTTTGTAAATTAGTGCTTTGAGCCTTAGAAGCCAATCCCCAAGCAACCATTTTACAAAAGTACCCACAAAATCTTCTCAAATTTATCATATCTTGGGTGAAAATATATGAACATCCCTTTTACAAAATACATTATCCATAGTATCTACTGAAGTTCCAAACAATATTCAAAACATACCTATGCACATTGCATAAAAATCCTTTAATTTGAATATTTCTTAGCATGAATAACTGATCAATTTTTCTTTATGAAAGAGGGTTCTGATTCATATAAGGTATTATTTAATATAAACTCTAGGAGACCTATTAGACCTATCACAAAGCTATCTATACTGAATATCACCTCCCAGCAACTAAGGACTTATTTATTTATATATCTGGCTGCTTATTTATTCCTCAATGTTAACAGCAAGAAAAACACAATAAAAATATAAAAGCCAATGAAACATATGCAAACCATAAAAGCAGGAAATATGCCAGTAATCAATTATTTCCCAAAGGCCCACAGAATAGCTGTTTTTTTTTTTAACATTTTCTGGAAAGCTAACAATGAGGGTATCAATCTAATCTAGAGAGGATGCATAGTACATAATATGGGGACTGAAATTTTAAAAAATTGCAAAAATGTGTGGTCCCCTTTCACAGATTTGCATTACATCAAGCTGTTAGGAACGTTAGGCTCCATCCTAACGACATGAGTGGCTCTACTGCTCTTTTAAGGCTCACAAAAACATCCCTTCTTCCAATGAAGTGTTCTATTTCTCTGGTTTGTCAAGACAGCCAAAAGGGATAGATAAACCTCCCAAATAATGGAATTTATATAAGAGAGAAGCCTTTTTGTTTCATTAGAGTTCACTTGTTGAAAAAATAAGCAGATAATATTGCAGGGTGTTGCTCCAGGAACTATATCAAATTCTGTCCATGAAGAGCAAGTTTACATTGAATCTAAGAGCTTTATCACAAAAAAGTTCCATAAACTGGTCACATTTTTTTTTCTGGTCAACCTTTCCTAACAAGCTTTAAATCATCATATTTTATCTTTTATTTACTGGCTTAGATTCTTCATTGACATTACACCAATTCAATCCTTTGGGTCCTCACCTGAATCTATATAATGAAAAGCAAAGAATGATTGTAGTAAAAATTAGTTGAAATGAGATAAAGCAATGTGAAGCAACAGTTCTTGGCCTAGCTAATCTCAACTTGGTTTGTTGTGATAACCCTAAATTACTTCAGTTAACTAAGTATTCTTAAAGGGGGATTTTTAAAACATTACCACATATACTTTACGTAATAAAAGATTATTATTCTTCCTAATTCTCAAGTAGTACTCATTTCTCCAACTGACATCACCATCTATCGCAGGTCCTTAACTAGGATTGTATATTCAAGAAACATGAAGGTATTTGCACTTGAATACCAAATCTATATTGGTTCTTACCTCTACAGGAAGTTGTTGAAAAGTGGATACAATATGGTCTGCAGCTACAGCTATTCCAACTAGTGCAGCTATTTTTTCTGGACGTGCAATTGCAGCATGAAGCATCAACCATCCACCCAAACTGGAACCAACTAAAATCTTAACATAAAAACATTAATAGCACTTTTGTTACAGAAATAGCTCACAGACATATACATCAGTACAATAATAAAGGAAATTAATAAGATAAATGATAAAACTGCCTATTAAATATAAATGTCATTGAACATGGAACCAAATTTATTTAGTATTTTACATATCCCTTATTTTTAGTAAGTCAGTATACAGTATGCCTGTTCACAATGCCCTATACTTTAAAACTATAGTTTAATAACCTTGCTTATTTTGAAGTGAACTATTTTAAGAGGATTTTGATTATGTGTTATCAAATCATGTTTAACTCCTAGTGACACACAAAAGAAATGTAGTGAAAAAAAATAAAATTAACTCAAGAATCCATGATTTGTTCTTCGTGTAAGCAAAAATTGCATTCATTCATCTATGCTTGGCTCATTTGGAGATAAACAATAGCAGAGTAGTTAAACCTGAACTTGCAGTTCTAAGGCTCTTATTATTTAGCATAGTTTCAAATTTTTCTGACTGTGTTCTCAAAGCAGTTTGATTTAAAAGGCAATTTTGTAGAGACGTATTATAAGCAACAATAACCATCAATCAAAAGTTAATTTTATCAAAGTATTTTACAAATCAAAACTATATTTTGTAGGATTACACAGTGATCCAGGTTCAAGAGAAATAAAGTGATCTGGATTGTATGAAAGTACCTACATTCCACTGTCATATTCATTAAAGAATATGTCTCACTTCCTAGGCTTAAGTAGAAGCATTGTTTGATTTAAAGGAATGCTAAAAAATGCTATGAGTAAGCTTAGGCAAGTTCTGAACACCTTTTCTCTTTGAAGCATGGATAGTTGAACAGTCTTTATACCAGCAGCTATGAATATATTCATCTATTTTTTTTTTTAAAAAAAGTAAAAGTTGAGGAAACGTTATACTTTGTTTAAAAATAAAGCTAGTCAACCTGTGGTCCCTCTGTGAGTTCATCCAGTACTGAAAGCACATCTTTTCGCCACTTTCCTAAAGTACACTCTTTTACACTGCCTTCTGAACTTCCACAGCCTCTGTAATCAAACCTGTGAAATTAATTTAAAAAAGAGTCCAAATAAAGTTAGGGTTTTACAAGCAGCCCTCAATGGGGCTACCAAATAGTTATCAAAATAAAAGTGTTGCAATTTCTGTTTATACAAGATTTGCAACAGAAATATTCTTGACCATTCTAATGCTTGGTCCATACTTACAACTGAAGTGCATATCTGATTATTCTTTCACCACCCTTCTTAGTACTATCAACTATATTATCTCTTAGAACATACAGCTGATATGTGGAATTTGTTGTTATGCAAGTCCCAGTATGCAAGTCCCAGTCCTAACTGGCTGAATGTTTTCTTACAGTGGTAATGTATGGCTTGACCTCTTGGCTGGTTTTGTCAGGGCCCTAGTTTGCATCTATGGTTTATGTTGTGTATACTGGAGATAATTTGACATATAAATTCTGGGTTGTTTTAATATGCAAATAACATCTAAACTTTGCACTCTCTCTTTTAACTAATGTTAAAGAAGATATGAAATCCTAAACTAATGACTAAATATAGGTGAAGGATTAAATGCAGGTAAATAAATGGAAGTTCAGTTCTATCAAAAATAGTTCTGACAAGCAGATGAAGAATTTTACAAAAAAGAAGTACAACAACTTGCTCTGGAGTAATGTTTCTGAAACTTCTGGGAATACTTATAGATCCAGTACTGCTCCTAGAAGATTACATTTCATCAGTGGCCAGCAATGCTTATGTTGTATATCTATCTTTTGGGAAATGATTATTACAGTAATTCATGCCATTATAATTTCTTATTTGGATGGCTATATTTTTCATGTTATGCAGTCCCTGATAGGAATTTAAAAACTAAAGATAGCATAAAATGTAGGGTCTAATAAAAATATTATTTTGATATTTTTATTAGACCCTGCATTTTATGCTATCTTTGATATTTTTATTATATTCCACAATTTTACTATTATTAATCTCCTTAATTATAGTTGCCCACTCCAACAGACTCTGGATATTTCATAAAATCTAAAACCAAGTTAAAAAAATGAAAGCAAACAAAACAAAATAGCTTAGATTAAAAATAGCCATTAAAATACAGTGTGACAGCCTTCCGTGATACCAAAAACACTGACCCCACAACCAAGTTTTAAGGTCTTTTCAGAACATTTTCAGAGTGGATGCTGTCTGTACATCTGGGGGACTACTATTCCAAAGGGAGGGCCAATAACAAAGAGGGCAAGCTTTCTAGGTTCCACAAAATGGCAACAAAGACTTTGTTCAGAATTTGCTCCTTCTGTCTGAATGTATCAAGTGAGCAGAAACAATGGGAGAGACAGTCCTCTGGATATCCAGGTCCTTGTTGATCCTACTTTTATACTTCACTGTTATCATTGCTAGACTTTCCATTGATGATAGGTTTGGATAAAGAAACTCACATAGCAGAAAATAAGTTACTAGTTCCACTTTAGAAAGGTCATAATATTCTATATTAGTTTCTTGCCAGTTTATTTAGTGGATTTTCATGCTTGTGTTTCTTAGCAGTATTGTTAATTTATATATAACATAAATGTTACCCAACAAGTAGCAAATAAAATTTATAAATTTAACAAGGAAATAATTTAGAAAATCATGCATAAATTAATTAGTTACATACCTTACAAAAGCATGACCAACAGATTTGCAGAAATCTTCTAATGCAAGTGCCTTTACACCATTCATATTTGAAAAAATACCTGGCAAGAAGACAACCCCTGGATTCTTGCCTTTCAGCTTATTATAAGCTAGTTTGGGTTGATCAGGCCGGTTAAGCAAAATGTGTGATGATTTCTGTTTACAATCTAAAGAAAAATTTTTGCAAATCATTTATATTTTAGTGACAGTACTAAAATAATTTTTATGCAAGTAAAAAAGAAACTGACACTGATTAAATTCACATATTAAGGTGAGATTCACAACCTTTAGATATGGAGTCACTACACAAAGTTTGGGGACATATTTTGGGATCCCAAAAACTTTGAAATGACATGGTTGAATCTAGGAAATTTGAGAAAACGATTCTGGTTCATAACAATTTATCAATTTTATATGATGTCCAACTCCGAGTTTTACAATTTCCACCTATTTTGCTCTTTCACAAATCTCTACATAGTGCATTTATGGGAGGAAATTAATGGGCTAATGTCTGGCTTGAAACTATGTATATGTGTTTATAAATATATATTTTTAAAAAATCTTTAAAATGTTTGGAGGGAGTTAAAAACTACTTAATCAGCACCCTCTCACTCATCACAGAAAGAAAAAGGTCAGAACTGCTTTGGTACAAATCCTAACAAGTCACAAAATTAATCAAGTGTGGAATCTACCAAATAACACTATGTAATAGAAGATCTGTGAATGTCCAATAATCTTTTGCCACAAACTAAAAGCTAACCAATTCACAATAAAGAGGTATATCTTAGTGAGTGAACCGGGATTACTGATTTACGAGTCTATATAAAAACAGACACAATTCACATACTTAAAAGTTTATTTTTTCAATGGTTGAGGCAAAAACAGAAATAAAAAATCTATTTTTTATGAAACCATGATTTAATTTTTTAACACTTAACATGCAAAGGATGGAACTATAATTTCAGATGAGAAAATAAAAACAGTAATTTGTAATAGTTTTATAATGTATTTGTAAACTATTTTCCAGGGTTGCAGGGTTTTACAGGGGAAGTGATATGGTGGTGACTTATGATAGATAGCTCTTTCCAATTTCAACCTTTTACTTTCCCTTCTGGAAATATAATTATCTGATCACCTTCAGCAAATGTGACCACACTAACCGGCTATTCTACATATTGCAGTCAAATACATCTGAAGGGCCTTCATTCAATGAACAGGCTTACAGCACACAAAGTGTATGTATTACTGATTTTTACTGCTATCAATAAAATAGCCTAGATAGCGCAAGTAGACTCAGACTTACAGTAACTGCACAACGTAATTCAACATTATCACGTATCTGGGCAGCATGTCTATATAATACTTTATGCACACACAAAAACAGCACTCTTTAACATTTTCAATATTGGAGATTCCGCGCGATTAAAGGAAATTAAAAGGATATGTAGATTCGATTAAACAAAGTTACTAAACCAAGCTTGGGAAAAAGGCTGTTTGTGATTTTTTTGGGGGAAGCCACTATTACAGAAGGAAAATAGCATATATTCTTTGCCATTGATGTGTAAAAGACAGGTGCATTTTCGTTCAGGTGCTAATCAGGCATCAATCGTATCCTGATCTTAATTACAACTTGGCGTTAAGTGGAGGCGTCTCCTCGATGGCTGCCCTTTTCTTCTATTCGGCCGAGGGGACGAAGCAGGATCTCAAGGAAAGTCCACTCGCCTCACCCACTCCGCACTTACCCAGCAAATGAGGGAAGCCTAAGCCTGTTTTATGGGCGAGAGATGCACCCCATTTCTGCTTCCCCCGCGAAAATACTCTCGTAACGCCCACTACTGCCATGTCCCTCCTGCCCGACAGCGGAACTGGCACACGCCTTTTCCTCCGGCTGCTTTGCCAGGGAGAGAGCATGCCCAGAAGGAGGACGAGGAAGCTTCAATTAGGTATGCGCATGCGCTAACTGGATACCGCTCTTGCTATAGAACAGCGAAAACCGCTTTTGTCTCTATGGTGCATATCTCTATGAGTCCCAAGCCAGGTTTCTCTATGATAGATCTTCCAAGTGAAAGATTTATAAATTTAGACTGACAAGTCTGTTCTTTGCAAATTTTACTGTGGATTGGTTGTTTACTTTCGATTTTTCTTTCCTTCTTGTTTTTTAGTAAAACTAACAGCTGAACACTAAGGATCCCTCATTTATACATTCATCCGATGGAGCGTGCTTTGAGAACTGGATTTAAAAATTAGTCTGAAGACAGTGATCTATGTTGCTTCGATAGACTAATGTTTTGAAAACGTGAAGTAAAACAGAACATGATGTGAAATGTGTTACTAACACATACATTATTATTTTGCTGTGTTAGTGTATAGAGGGGAAAAAAATCAAAAGAAGTCTGCTAGCACCTTTTTCAACTAGCAAATTGTTAGAGCATTTCAGAAGTCCAGGACATTCCGATTAGAGACTGTTTCTGAAGAGTCAAAAGTGACTTAAACCTTTACTTGAATGAGATGTTGTTGAATTCATATGCATCAATTGATTCACGCAAGTTCAGAAAGTTTCAACAAACAGTAGATTATAAAAACACTGTAATTAATAAGGTAGTTGTATTGTATCTCACTTGTGCATAACTACCCTATCTTCCCCTTTCCCCCCCCTCCCTTATCTCACTCCTATTTATATCAAATGCACTCAATGCATTTAATGAACTGCAATTTCACACACATTTAATAAAGTTTGTTAGTTGGAAAAAGTGCTACCTGACTTATGTTACATGGTTATTTATACAAAGAATTTATATAGCCTTTCTTAAATTGTCAGAGCAGAGATACAGATGTTACATTATGTCATGCCCCTATTTATAAAGAATTTTGCTTGATGTTTATCACCACCACCCCTGCTGACAGAGGGAATTTCTCTATTTTTACCCAGTGCATATCCTTTGTGAGAATCAGTTTGGTGTAGTGGTTAAAGTAGCAGGAAAAGAACCGGAAGAAAGTTGTAGGTCTCAGATCCTAGTTGGGTGACTTGAATCCTAGTCACTTTCAGCCCTGGGAAGGAAGCAGTTGCAAACCACTTCTGAAAAACCTTGCTGAGAAAACTGCAATCTCTGAGAATTGGACATGACTGAAGGAAGAAAAAAAAATCCAATATGATGTTCACCATTAGAAGGCAACACAAGAGTCATTTTATCCTTTACTGAGACTTTCCAGTCACAGGAAGCCAGATGTTATTCTATGGGGCTCAATCCTAGCATGAATTAAACTCCCAGACCTCTACAATTTAGATATACAGCCCATTAGTTTTCAGAGATCTTCAGGTTTTGGTACTCCAAAAGGATTTTTTTTTTTTGTAATTGGAAAAAAAATTAAATTGAAATTAAGGAATGTATTCAAAATACCAGTTTGTATCTATATCTAAAGTCTCTATTCTGTAAAAATGAGATGACATGTTCTATTGCTAAATAGTTCAGATTTAATAATAAATTTAATCACTGAATTAATTTTGTACACATTTTTAAATTTACTATGTGGATTTTTATTATACTTAAGTTTTTTTTCACTATTCAGTGTGCCTTCTCTGTAACAATACCTGCCATCTGGAATGAGCTTCCTCCAAGATACAAACAACCTCCTCGTTGCTGGTATATGGAAGGGCCCTGAAGGCTCTTTTCCTACCCCATTGTCCCCATTATGAATTGTTCCACTATCGTTTTTGTATTGGTTTTGTCCTTTTTCTGTTGTTTTTAAAGAAATGTGAAACACTGAGAGTTGGGCTGCATATAAATTTAATAAGTTATTACTATGTACAAAAATTATTTAATAAAAGCCAACCTTGAAATGACTGTGATGCTAAGGAGGTTATATTGATGTTAAATTTGATTACAGCCGCTAGGTTGTTAATAGGACAATATTGGAAGAAGGAATCTTTGCCTACTTTACAAGAATGGTTTCATAAAGTTTCGTATTTGGCAGAAATGGCAAAGATTTCGGCTTTCTTAAAGGAGCAATCTCAAGAAAATTTTTTTGCGGTATGGGAAAAATGGATAAATTTTATACAACATAATTTGGATATGGAAAAATATTATTTAGCCTTTTTATAATTTGTAATGATTGTTTTTTCTTTCTTTCTTTCTTCTTTTTCTTTTTTATATATATACATTTTTTATGTATTATTATTCATATATATTTTTTTTTATATATATATATGCTTTATTCTTCGTCTACTTTCTTCTTTCTTCTTTCTCTCTCTCTCTTCTCTTTTTTTTTATTTTTTTTTTCTTTTTTAGTATATATTATTCATTTTAAAGTTTATGTTATGTATATTATTATTATATATATTATTATTGTGATTTTTATTATTATTATTAATTATTTTATAAATTGCAAATGTTATTTTTAAAATATTTGTTAAATAATCCTATATTCAGTTCTGGGAAGTCGGGGGGGGGTGAGGTGGTTGGGGAGGGGGGGGTGGATTTTTATTTGTAAAACTTTTGAAAAATTTCAATAAAAAAAAAAAAAAAGCCAACCTTGAAATGAGATCAGATGGCAGTACACCTTCAACTAACCTAAAGTGGTTCAACTGCTTTTATTATCATATATATTTAGGACCGAGCTGCTCATTATGTTGTAACTGCATTAACAGCTACAGTGAAATCTCAGAGCTCTAGCATTTTATACCAATTAGGTTTCCAGAAAATTATTGAGAAATCAGACACAGAATTTGAAAATGTTTTTAACATTTATTTAAATGTTGCCATTACAACATGCAAGATACAAAAAAAAAATAGAAAACCTGTAAAATTTATATAGAAGTAAAATTAAAATATCAGTAGAAACAGTGGCATTAATTTCTGGAATTTATCTTTTAACATTGGTGAAACAAAATTTTCAAGCTCCTTTTCCTTCAGAAGACACAAAATAAGTTGTTTTTCTTTTTGGTTTTTTTAATAGATCTAGATGAATTGTGAGTAGAACAAAATTCTGGAAGCAATTCACCTTGCTATTGATACAAACTTAATTTGATGGATTTCAATTGGCTTCTTTTAATAAGACTAAATTTGAATTAAACTTAATGCCTTTTTCTCTGGAGAACAAAAACACAAGTAAATACCAGTAAGTTAAATAACATATTTTTACACAGTGTATATACAATTAAAGTTTAATACTTCTTTATTTATTTATTTGCATTGAATTAAAAGAAAAACAACTTTAAGCCCTGATTCAACAATTTAAATGCTCATTTCTATGTGATTTTTCATGTAAATGCATCTGAAAAAATGTAGCATCTCTGAACTAGTGTAATCATGCTACTTGGCATCACACACTATAATAAATTCAGTATATTTCAATAACTATTTCTGAAAGTGGCTTATTTATAATTTCCTTAAGGAGGTTTAAGATTTTTAGTTTAGTTCACTGAAAATATGGCAAGTATATGATCAAAATATTAAAAGGCAACATCAAATACAAACATGATTCAAAATCCAAACTTCATCTGAATACAGCATTTAAAGAACATAAAATTATTTTAAATGAAAATGATCTTTAAGGAATATATAATCTTAAGAACCTAACATGGTGATCCCTTGAATGCATAAAAGTTTTTAAACTTAGTGATTTAGCCCAGTATTATCCCCTCTGAGAGCAGTTTGGTAAGATTTCAAAGAGATCTTATCGATTATCTTTCTTATGATCAGTACTAAATAATTTTTTGATCAGAGGTGCCTGATCCTGATCCTGGAAGTATCTGCATAATGCATTTACTCTGTTATTGAATTGTGGTCCCCATATCATTTCTTCAGACCCCGTAAGAAACAGAAAGAAGGATTCACTGCAAGTGAAATGCTGTGATAGTTTCCTCAGTACATTTGTGAAACCATTTTTCTATGTTAACACCATAAAGAGTGATCTAGAATATGAAATCTGAAGCATAGCGCTAAAATGAATGTGTAATGGAATTGTTGCTATTTTGTTTATGATGCAAAATAAGTTTTCATGGCTTCTATTCAGACACCTATCAAACTAGCTGCAAAATATGTCTCTGTGCCAAAAAGATGGAAAAATAATTCAGAAAAAAACTGAAGACTTTTCTTCATGACTGATCTTAAGTACACTATGTCTTTAAGAAATTCTTCACATTAATTTAGAAGCCAACTTAGACTGGGAAAATATTCAACTACATTAAAATATTTATTTTATATGGAAAAGTTGTGAATATAATTTCCAAAGACTTGTAATTTTATGCACAAAAATCATGTTATTTGGGGAAGTCCTTACAAGGTTATGATTTTTTAAATTATGGTTCTTAATTCTACTAAACTGTAACTGGTGAACTCTTGTGAAGAGGTTGTAATTTGCTAAGAAAATAAGCAACAGCCTCAGTAGAAATGAAGACATGATTGCTCACTATAGTTTTTTATCTGATTCTATCTTCTAAAAAGAAAGCTAAAATATCTAAAGATATCATTTTTGTTAACATTCAAGCTAACAACCAGCATTTCGAAGATACAGATAGAAAGATTTTAAAACACTAGCATATAAAAAAGAATTTTAAAACTGTTCTATTACATAAAATTAAATCTCAACACACTGTATAAATCTTTGGTTGTGTTTTAAGATAAAAACACCGCAAACAGTAGTTTAAATTTGCTATAAAATACTTATAAGGAAAAGAACATAAAATTGTTCATATACCCTGTACATTAAATATTGAAGCATCATATCTTTTGTTTTCACTTCTTAATACAAAATACTATAGCAACACTGGTAACGTAATGACATTTATTCCATAAGGAAAGTTCTGCATGGTAGAATTTGTAAAAAAAAATGCCACAGAAATTGGCTTATGGCTATCCAGTTATTCATTTTTGGAGGGTTATTTATCTTTTAAGTAGAGGGTTTTTTTTGTCTATTATATCAAAAACAAATGAACCTAATTTCATGCTCCCTTACATATGATGTATTTCCTTTTGAAATATAAGATTAGGTCTACTGATAGAATTTTATACATGTGACTTGTCAAATATGACCATATATGGCTTTCCACCCTCACAAACACAGCTATTATTGCATTATGCCCTATTGTTGAAACTTTGCACTACATTTAACTACAACATGAAGTGTGTGTAACCTTCTGCTCCTGTAACTATTACATCCATCCATATTCGCATAGCTTCTGGTGATGGGGCCACCATGTAATATATTCTGTCATGAGTTTTAACGCTGAAGGTAAGCAATGGATTAGGACTCTGGAAAGAAAGTAGAAGTTTATATAATTATTAATATTATACATTCTGAAACAGATGATAATCTAATACATGAATATTACATATTTTTATTCTTTTTCTTGCATAGCTGTGAAATAAACCATGTAGCTGAATTGAATATAAATTGAATGCATAATTTTATATGCCATTTTCATTAGTAATTATTTATTTAATTATAACAGAATTAAAATTTATTTTATTAAATTAAAAATTATTTTAATCCTGACTATTCTCTTAGGAATGTGGCTACTGGCAGTCAACAAACACACTCTTGTCTCACATACAGAGACACACACAAATACAAATACATGTGACATATAATGTGTCATATAAACATACCCTACACTATTTGTATTGTTTATCTGTTTAGCTTTTCTTTCTACATATTGTTGGTTATTTTGTGGTGAGGGATTGATTTAAAATAAAAACTGTCTTATTTTGGATGAAAAGAGAAGATGTCCCAACAATACTGGTTATGTAGGCTGCGAGTTGTACTTCTGCAACACCTAGAGGCTGCACAGATTTTATACCTTTTAGATTCCAAAATAGGATTTTGAACAGATTCCAGATGAAAACATAATACTTTTCCAGTGACAGTGAACCTATGATACATGTGTCAGATGACACGCCATGCCATTTTTCGATGACACGCAAGGCCTCCAAACCCTGAGAGGGCCTTGCTCTCGCACAATGTCTAAAGCATCTGAAAATTATGTAAACATTCTTGCACAATTTTCTGATGCTCCAGGGGTCCCATGAGAATAGGGCCTTCTCGCATGACTTTCGGAAGGTCCAGAGAAGAGAATCTGGAGGAGAGAAGCGTCTAGAAAGGGGAGATGCCTCTTTTGTCCAGGGTGGGGGTGAGGTGTGTGTGTGTGATATACCAATAGAATCAAATTGTGCATTTTCTCAATTTTTGATACACTGAGCTCAAACATCATTGCACATTGTCATCACTGCACATTTGTGTACTGGAATACTAGTTCTCTAATGTACTGCATTTATTATAGTAGCTGAAAACTTCTACATGTAGGTAGGGAAGCAAAAAAACTAGCACAAAACCATGATCTCTATAAACTACCAAAGCAGAATGTGCATAAGATCTATAGTCTCCTTAAGTTTTTTGAACAGAATATTGCCTGTTTCGTTACAGTAAAAAAGCTTATAAATGTGGATACTATACAACCAAAGCATAATCATGTGAACTTGATCCAAATATAATATTTATTTGTAAAATAATTTTATTTTCAAAGGAAAGATGTTTGAAATTAATGGCAAGAAATTAATGACATTTAAAATTTAGGAGTTTCTTAGCATCTTAGTACATTTTATTTCAAAGGATTTATTAGTGTCCTTCTATTTTCCCTTATATTTTCCTACATTGTACTTCAAACTATCAGCTTTTTATATTAAGTGGCCTTTTCTATTGTAAGTTGTATACAATAATTAGTGTGTATTTAAAAATATGTTTTAAGAAAAGCAAGATAAACATCTTTTCTTACCTTGCAAGCATTCTTTAAATGATCGTAATATACTTCTTCAATGGCTTGGAAATAAATTACTCCTTTTAATTTAGTTTCATGTTTGTCTAGAGTAAAATAAAAAAGTGGGTTGAGACATCATAGAGATTGCAGATTAACATTAAGACCTCTATTTAATTTAAAATAAACTGCTGTTTTATTTGGTTATTAATTTGATTTGACAATACATTACCACATCAGAACATCAATGAGGCATATTCCTAGTAAGTTACAGTATTTCTTATCTGGAACACGTATTTACTGTGTCCTAAGATTGATCTATCACTCAGTCAACCAATCAATGTATCAGTCAGTCTATCTGTCTGTAGTTGGTTCCAAAAATTATTGACCATTTGGTACAAAACTGCATTTTTTAATTTCTCTATCTCAAACCATAGCTAACAGCTATAGTTTGAAATACTAGTTAGAATGATTGAAAGGTGGAAAAAGCCATTATTAATCTCTAAGAGGGATGTGTTGTTCGTCCATCGATTTTGATGAGGACCTTGACATCTTGTAGATTATGGGCCATCAACAATGTGTCCGTAGGTGGCTGATAAGACCGATGTTAGCATAGAATGTTCTACCACATACTGAAGTCAGTCACACAAATTGTATTTTTCTTAGGCTACACCTGCTTTGGCATCCCTTGCTGTTAAGCCTCCTGTTTCCTCCTTGCCAATGTTATTGGTTTGTTATAATATCAACTAATGTAAACTGCATAATGCAGGATAGTCAATTACAGAAAGCAAGCAGAAAAAAGATCCTCTCATATTTCAAATTGAACTTGAAACAGTCCTAATTTTCTAGCCAAAAACCTGCAATGATTCCAAATACTGATAACTTGTAACAAAAAATCTTAGAAAACAATAAGTGACCAGGTCCTTAATTTGAAGAATACCGATTCATAGCTTATGCATATAAGTTCATCAGTTTTGATTCCATTTATGCATACAGCTATACTAGGCATTTCTTTGCTTCTAGATATCCAGCATATGAGGAAAATGCGCTAATTCTAATCTTTAATGTAATTCCAAGATGTAAACATACAAGACTGGCAAGCAATAAGACAAAACATTTTTAAGCTACAAAAATAACAGAATTTATGAATTTAATAAACCTAAAACAGCAACAGGAAAAATGCCATGTCAAAACTGAGACCATAACTCACCTGCATAATAAGAAAATGTTCTCTTGTTTCTATCAAACACAAACCATCGTTTTTTCCATGTTTTAATTTTCCCTCCCATCTTAACAAGAAAGCCTCGGCAAGTCTTCTCAGTGAGTGAGACATGGTAACAAGTCTCTACATTATGGCCAGCTGCCTCTATGTGGCCACGCAGATCAAAATCCTCCTTTCTGACTGGCAAATAACGGGTCAGGGGACGAGACTAAAATAAAGGTACAATTAATATTTAAAATGTTATTAAAATTTTCTGTATTCATTGTTATAATTAGTCCACGTTTTTATACATTTCATACATGCATAGCATTACATTCTTCCCTTTTAGGATAAGAAAAATTATGCAAAGTGGAGAAAAAAATATGGGTGTTCTTAAAGACCCCATTTCAACTGCATTTAGCTTAAGTTTCTCCTGACATCTTCCCTTCCTATTTCATCTAAAAAAGAGAGAAGTATGGTCTATGTACAGAGCCATTTTAGCTTATTTTTAACAAATGTACAATCCTCACAACAGACAGCACACTATTCGCTAATTTATTATCTACATGTGCACATTTTTCTTTAAAAAATCCATTTTTCCATCTTTTCAGGGTAGAATTCATCTATTTGCCCTAAATTTTCATCACTTGTATAGAACCGTCATTGTTAACTCTAGTTTTTTTTTTTTTTTTTTTAATAAGAATAGGTATGCTGGTCTCTGATAAGTTTAGCATGTTTTCCATTGTAGACTTGGTCTTTCTAATTAGGTCTTTCTAACGTTGGTCCAACAAAATGATCTATTAATGTACATGAGCTACTTCTCTTCCTTCAAACAGCAGTATTTTCTCTATTTCAAGATATTACATACCTGGCTTCTCTGTTTTTCACGTATCTTAACTTCTTTTTCAATTAGTTTTTGTCGCTGACTAGTTTCTTCTTGTAACCTTTTTTCTAACTGTTCTCTGCGACACTTTTCTTCTTCTAGTGCCTTTTTTTTGGCTTCCATTTCTCGTTCCTAAAGGAATACAGGCAGCATAACATAAATGAATACAGTCTGCTTTTTAAAAAATGCATAGTTTTAACACAAGTTGATCTAATGTAAATGTACTGTTTTTAAAACATCACTTAAATTCAAGGGACACAAGCCTATTCAACATTATCAAAGTTATTTAAATGAAAACTCCCTTATCAAAAGCAAAATACTTTTGAATATTGGATGTTACAGATGTCCAGTAGAATAGTGATTCACGTTGCAACCTTACAGATGTATAAAAAATAATAATACTAGATCCTCTCTTTAAATGACCTGTTAGCTCCCCCCCCCTTACAGTTCTACAGTTTTGGAGTAATAAAAGTTATAAAACTGTACAGACGTCTTTTCTCTCTGCTTCCTTGTTTCAGGTATTATTTCAAAGTTGTCCGCCACCACATGCTATGTAACATAAAATAAACTTGTGAGTGTTTGTGTGGATGGATGGATGGATGGATGGATGGATGGATGGATGGATAGATAGATAGATAGATAGATAGATAGATAGATAGATAGATAGATAGATAGATATACTGTAGATAGATATACTGTAGGTATAGGTCAGTTTATTTTAATTTTACATAGCATGAAATAATACCCTGGGCTGAATCAAGGAAGCAGAGAGAAGAAAGATTTCATTATATGCATACACACATTGAGAATAGAATTCTGAGTTTTTCTTATGAGAATCCTTATTAGCCAAATTTCCAGTATCTAAAATAGAATGTGTATCTGGTTTTTAATGACCATTGTTTCAAATCTAGTCATAAAATTCAATAAAAATGGTTCTTAAAACAGATTAGTTTAATGTATTTGTGTTCAGTATCAATGCTGTATTAATCCATCTTATTTTATTTAGTCCTATTATAAAACATAAATCAACATTTTCCTTCTTTTTCTAGGTTATAACCATCAGCATCTCCGTGAAGATCAAAGCCACGTTTTATCATTCATGTGATTTATCTCAAGCAAAAGCTTAATTTGCATATTTTACCAGACCAAGTCTAGACCATGTTGCGTATTTCTTATTAATCTGTAATAAATAAACCTCAGTAACTATACTGTTAAATCTGTGTTGGCTGATCATATTGCAATTAATTACAATGCAAGCCCTGTCAAATTCTATGAAAATATACTAATTTCAAAATCTAGTGAACACACAACTTCAACTATGGAGTATCTTTGATGTTTCTATGTACATCATTACCCTGGATTCAAGTAATCGTGTCTTCTCAGCATGAGCTTGTTTTAAAAGTCTTTCCATCTCTTCTATTCTTGCCACATTTGCAGTGCTGGCACTGTAATGAAAACCAGCAATAACAACTGAAATTTGTGATAAAACATTTCAATTCATTAAAAATATATTTCTAGGCTTTTTATTGTTTTCTATCCATTTCTTTCACAGTGGAATTACTGATCAAAAGGGATTGTTTAGCCAATGGTTTTTCTCCACACATGTACAAAAAAAGCAAAGAACCAATCAACAAAAATACCTTTAAAAAGTGCAAAAATGCAGAACAATTTTTGTCAGATTAACCTGAGAGTCAACATGGATGTTCACATACACCAGGATTCTACTTATGAGACAACATGATCTCAGAAGCTTTCAAGGAAATCAATACTATAGATAAAATGCTGTTTCCAGCAAAATCATCATTAAGAATACAGTTTGTGGTAAATTTTAAGTTAAATTACTTATTACTCTTTAGCTAAAAAGACTTCCTACCATTGAAATCATACACAGGAAAACGGAACACAGAATAAGAGATGGAAGGAAGGGAAAAAAATACTAGTACTTAAAGCGATTTATATTGCAACAATAAGTCAAGATGGAAACATTTCCATCTTGATGAAATGGCTGCTGGCTAACAATTGATGAAATACCAGAATTAATTGGTCATGAAATAGACAGAAGAGAGGTAACATTCCTAATTTCCTATCTTTTCAATTACATTAACTATATATGCTTACATAAATAGTTCTCAGTATTGACTGGGTATTTCTAAAACTAAAATGTTTTTGCTAAGATCCACAAAACTACATTTTAATAAATTCATATTTAATAATCAAATATACTTCCTTGTTTAATTATTGTGTATTTTCTGGAAAAAATAAACATTGCCACAATGTACCTGGAAATATTATCTGGGGAACAGGCAGATATACTTGTCTCCATGCTGTCCGAGCTATCTAAACTAAGGGTGTCAAAGGTGTGGTCTTTCAGGTTAGAATTAGGATAATGAAAGGTATTCAGATACATATTTGATTCTGAGGCAGTTCTGCTATAGAATTCAGGAGACTTCTGGCTTTGATCTTCATGGAGATGCTGATGGTTATAACCTAGAAAAAGAAGGAAAATGTTGATTTATGTTTTATAATAGGACTAAATAAAATAAGATGGATTAATACAGCATTGATAGTGAACACAAATACATTAAACTAATCTGTTTTAAGAACCATTTTTATTGAATTTTATGACTAGATTTGAAACAATGGTCATTAAAAACCAGATACACATTCTATTTTAGATACTGGAAATTTGGCTAATAAGGATTCTCATAAGAAAAACCCAGAATTCTATTCTCAATGTGTGTATGCATATAATGAAATCTTTCTTCTCTCTGCTTCCTTGATTCAGCCCAGGGTATTATTTCATGCTATGTAAAATTAAAATAAACTGACCTATATCTACAGTATATCTATCTATCTACAGTATCTATCTATCTATCTATCTATCTATCTATCTATCTATCTATCTATCTATCTATCTATCTATCCATCCATCCATCCATCCATCCATCCATCCATCCATCCATCCACACAAACACTCACAAGTTTATTTTATGTTACATAGCATGTGGTGGCGGACAACTTTGAAATAATACCTGAAACAAGGAAGCAGAGAGAAAAGACTTCTGTACAGTTTTATAACTTTTATTACTCCAAAACTGTAGAACTGTAGGGGGGGGGGGTGAAGCTAACAGGTCATTTAAAGAGAGGATCTAGTATTATTATTTTTTATACATCTGTAAGGTTGCAACGTGAATCACTATTCTACTGGACATCTGTAACATCCAATATTCAAAAGTATTTTGCTTCTGATAAGGGACTTTTCATTTAAATAACTTTGATAATGTTGAATAGGCTTGTGTCCCTTGAATTTAAGTGATGTTTTAAAAACATAGTATGAAAGTAGTAACCATTGTATACTTGGACAACAATTCTTTAAATTATATATTTTAGGAAGTAGTGACATGTCTAATACTGATTCAGAAAACTACTAAATTTGCTGGCAGAAGATATTTGGGTAAGCAAAATTATTTTAGAGTTTGATAAACGGAATGAAGTTCACACTTTTAATTTTTATTTAGTCTGCAATCCTACTTAAGACAAATATTCATATATGATGTCCTTCTAAAAATATGAATGGATTTGCTAAAAGAAAAGATTTTAACATTAGCATGACAATGAAAAACTCAAAATAATGTCTCAATTCAACAGTAATTCAAGGAAAAATTGTTTTGCAAAAAAAAAAAACTAAGTAAGTTGAGTTAATTGACAGTAGCATAATAATAAGCAGAAAAAACAGTTGTCAGAAATATTGAAATTAAAATAGAAACCTATTATATTGTTATTAATAACAGATCAGAATTGAAATCACACAAAAAAGTGCAAACCAAACCAAAGAACATAGTCAAGAGTCCATTTTTGTTTATGGTGGATTAGAGATTCTTTTTATATGCTAATAGAAATAATTTTAAAAAGTTTTGCCAATCCAGAGAATTAGTAGTTGCCATTGCAGCTAGTTCTTCTACATGTATGGTTGCCTTTCATGTTATCATCTCAAGAGTGTTTATATTTTTAGGAAAACATGGGAAAAAGATGAGTCAATGAAATGAGGAGAACGCCTACAGTATCTTTGTGTGCTATAGTGGTAATAAGAAAATTCATTTTTCCTTCCACAAGGCTATAACAGGACTCATAGGGGAACTTTCTTTTTATTTAGATAGCCAAACATGAATTTGTCTTCTGCAAATTAAGGTTGGAAGAGAACCAAATTTCTAAATCAGATGGGGGGGGGGAGAGAGCTCACTACAAATCTATGCTACTTTTATTCTATGCCAGGCTATATTTCCAATTGTGTGCATATTATATATTTATATCTTGTGTTCAAAATTAAGCAAATATTGAGTTTATTAATCAGTGTCGGCGTTTTCATGAAAACAATATTGGTTATTACATAGATGTCAATATTTTTGTGCTGTCAGACTAAGCCACAATTGTTTAGATTTGTCAACATATTTTGCAAGACCTAGCTGCATTGTGTGAACCTGGCCTGTTCTATCTGCAAATAAAAACTAGATTAATTAACATAAACCTGAAGAGTTTGCTTGTACGCTGTCTTTACATTATACCCAAACGATTAATAAATATAGGCAGAAAAGAGCAGGGGGTTTCAACTGATCTAGCTTCAATACTGGATTCATTATCTTCAAGCGTTTCAGAAATAGGAATCTACTGAATAAATGCTGTAATTGGAATCCTGATGGCATCAACCTCCACAGCCTCCTCCACTGCAGTAACTCTCTCTTTCTCCACAGATTTGAGGGAAAAGCCTGTGGGCATAGTCTTGTTTTCCATCTTATGACATTCTTAATATATATGACAGTATGTATGATTTAAACATGAGATTGTTTACATCCTAATACCTTTCTTAAGTTTTTGAGTGGAATAGAACATTCAAAATGTCCACACATATTGATTCTGAACAACTTGACAGTGTCCCCTCTGCCATTAGTAATGTAAATCAAGCATATAACACCACAGAAAATGTTTTTCATACCTTTTTTGCTTTTACCTGATTTTAATGACACAAACAGTGGAAAGGAAAAAAAAAATTATTTTAAAATATTAAATAATTCTTTAAAACCAAATATTCTTACTGAGATGCACAAATTAAACAAATATAGAAAGAAATGTAATTGTAGAAATGGAACTTGGAAAAAAAGGTTGACAATTTCTCTTATCACAGATTTTTTCTTCAACATATTTTGGATTACAGTCTTTATCAAAACATGTGATTTCATTAAACATATTTTAGATACTGAATATAGGTTTTCTAAGAGTTAAAGTCGCCTCTATAGGGAGTACACATAATAAATTAAATTAGAAAAAATCAACTAAAGTAGTCCTTGACTTACGACCACAACTGAGCCCAAAATTTATTGGCTAAGTGAGACAGTTGTTAAGTGAGTTTTGTCCCATTTTATGACCTTTCTTGCCACAGTTGTTGAGTTAATCACTGCAGTTGTTGAGTTAGTAACAGGGCTGTTACTGTAAATCCGGCTTTCCCATTGACCTTGCTTTTCAAAAAGTCACAAAAGGTGATCACATGAACTTGGAGAACTGCAATCATCATACATATGAACCAGTTGCCAAGGGGCTGAATTTTGATCGTGTCACCATGGGGATCTGCAACCATTATAAGTGTGACAAACAGTCATAAATCACTTTTTTCAGTACTGTTGTAACTATGAACACTCACTAAATGAACTATTGTAAGTCGAGGACTACTTGTATTTTAAATAGGTACCTAAGTGCACAAATCCTTTTAAATTTAGTGGATATTACTTTTAATTAAGTAATGTTAGGACTGAACTGTCTAATTTTATAATCAGAGAAGGCAGATGAGAGTACAGTTTTGTTTGTCTACATATTTTCTGTTGCTGTTATGAACATTAATAAGCATAAGTTATACTGTAATACTTTAATTACAGCTTTTTCTACTTTGTCTTAAACATTAGAAATAGTTTAAAATGACAGTGTACATCCCTTACTATATATAACTTCTAGTCCAACAGGGTAGTCACAGATTTGGCTAGATACCAAATGCTCACTCAACAGGCCAAATAAAATTAGGCATATCTTGGGAAGAAAACCTTCCAGTTTTTCACCCAATATCTAAAATTTCCAAGTGCAAGAAAACTGAATGTAAGCATCTATAAAGATATTCCCAGTGTATTTTACTCTATAAAGGTATAGAATACATATGTATTATATGCAGAAATAAGATGTAAAGGTGGGAATGTGCCCTTGATTTTCAAACTACAATTATTACAATTATTAATTCAGCTTCATTCAGCTTTAACGGTTTTAAAGCTGAATGAAGTTGAATTAATTTATTGTGTGTTTATTCAATTAAAGGAAATATGTACTTAATGTGAATGTTAATGTGAATAGGATTTATATTAGGATATTATTGCATATAAATATATGGAATAATTCTAAATATCTTTACCTTTACGTGTTCTCCTTGACTCCAAATCCTTGGTCATAGATCCTGAACAATGAGGAATTATATTGCCACAACTACTGCTTTGTCCAAGTGGCAGGTGACCCTGTCAAAAAAAAAAAAAAAAGCCATTTAGAGCTACTACTTTTTATATATAAATTCTTCAAATGAACTTTAGGCTTTCTCCTTGTAGATCAATGTTACAAAGTAGAGGGAGAATTACTTCGACTAAATTTACAAGGATTTACACTGTAAATCACCAGTGTGGAATGAAATTATTGGAAAAGGGTATGCATGTGTGAAGAGAAGGCCATCATTCAAGCTGACTAAGATTCTATTGAAACCAATGGAACTTCGTTAACTCAAAATCCAAAGACATTCTTTGAGCAATTACCTACCTTAACACTTCGTCCAAGAGTAGAACTATTGAAATGAGGTGATATGGGAGGAGCTGTCTTCTTGCGGGGCAAAGTATCACTCATGTACATGCCTTCTTTATGCTGCTTCTTTCTCTCTTCCAAATTTCGGAAATGCTTAAAATAAATAATAGCATGTAAAATTCTAGTGTGATGACATGCTACGAATGTTGTTGATGTTTCTGAAAAGTCATAATTTAATTTTAAAACTGAACTGAAAATTGCCAAAGGCAGAACTCAAGTAAAAATAGAACATCTCCAGATTCACAAAAATTAGAATACCGATAAGGTAGCTTCTTAAATTATTTTCTGTTACATGAATAATTTCTACAAGAAAAGTAATTTTAATGTAAATATACTGCAGTAATACATTCTTATATTAATGGGATAAATATGATACATCTTTTGTATTTTGTGATTATAATTGTCATAAATCCTCTATTCCATTTAATAGTAGCTGAATATAAGCGAAGAGAATAGTATACTTCACTGTGATTTTAAATACCAAAAATATTTTTGAATAAAAACAGTGGGACATATAATACATTTTGATATAAAATACATTTTGAATAAAAAAACAAAAAGTTTACACTGGTCTTTTATTTGTGATTCTATTTGCTCTAGTGTGTTTTAAATGCACAGTATAATAGAAGTGGTCATTTACTAATAAGAAAGGAAGATTTCACAGGGGTAATGTTTCTTAAAGTTAGTTTAATGCTAACTATTGCCAACTGCATGCTAAATGATAATCTCTTACTCGATAAATCTCAGTCCTGTTAACCTATTTTACAGCTTACCCAATCAATGTACCAATTTGTGATACCTAATTCCTTTATTGTGGATTTGCTTAAGTTACCTTCCTATACTACAAAGAATAAGAGTTCTGAGCTATTCTATCCAGAAGAAGCTAAAGAATGTAGTCTAAAATTTATTCTTCCATGGTAACCCATAGGGAGACCAGCAAAGTTTACTATGAAATAAAAATGCAATGTTCATGGAAGTTAGGATCTACTCAAAGAAGACAACTTGGGGCTACAAATCCCATGAGTGTATTCTACACTGAAATATAATCTCAGATTTGCAACAGATTCCAGAGTACTTTGTTTGTAAGCTTCAAATGTGTCTTCCAAGTTATTTTTGAAGCATTCTTAATGTTTCACACTATAGATATAATTATTTACTGTGCTGATATCAGAATGAGACAATAGTCATTCAAAATGTTAATGAAGATAAATTTAAACAGTTATGTTCAAATCATCTCTTTAACTCCTAGTTTTACAGAAAAAGGACTGTAATATTATTAATCAGCACTGAATATGTCAATGTAACATAAAACTGTTAAAGAGTGAAGACACTGGTCTAAATAAATAAATTCTGCATGCGTAAGATTTTTAAGTGGGTGGTCCTTAACAAAATGCATATGCAAATTTTCCCAACTAATATACATAGAACTCTGTGTGCAAAATCCTTTATAAATGCTAGAATTCCACCAGTCAGTTTTAAGGGAAAGGGCATTGGACCATAGATTCAGACCTTTAGGGTTCTGAAAAGCTGACTAATGGCTACTTTCCATGCACTTTTTCAAACTTGGGCATGCAACGATAATTATATCATTACCAAGTCAGCCTGCCTTCTGGCATGTTACCTGGGGTTCCCTTCGGTGTTTCTTAGCTGGTAGAGGTGGTGGTGTATCAGGTAAAGGAAAAGACTCTACATTGGCAGCCCTGACCTCAGGCCAGTCGGCTGATGAGAGTTGTGCAAGAGGGCGAGGAGAGAGAGAGTGAGGAATCACAGATCCATAACAGAAAGGTGATCTTAGCTTCATAGACAAAAAGAAATGGTATGAAAGTTTTAAAAATACATACAAGATGCAAATACTACAAAGACGTTTATTATGGGAAAAGCTTTTTAAGCCAGAGCTCACTTTATCAGATGCATGAAATGTTATTAGCAGTTTACAGAGAAGAACAAATAAACAAATGGTATTTTTCTCCCACCATACCTAATATTTTGATATTAGGTTTGTGATATCCTACAAGGGAAAAATAGAGCTTGCTTTGCTGTTTTTCCTGGAAATCAAAATGGGAATGGTGCAGACATAAGGTATTCAATGAGAATATAATAATGACCCAGTTTACTTTATCAACACTCTGGAAAAGAACATAAGAAGGAAGACAGAAGATATACCCAAGACATACATACAACATCTGTTCCTGAAAGAGACCCATAGGGGAAAAATTAACTCAACTCCCTATTCAGCTTTTTAATTAATAAAAAGGTTTATTACAACCTGTGAACCCCAAGGGAATAAAATTTGAAAGCATAATGTTTACACATGGGAAATGTCTCTCCAACAAACCTCTTTATTTTGTGACTGGCTTATCAGGCCAGCTGTGGAAAGTTCAGTGGGAGCAGCAGCAGCAGCAGAGGGGGGCTGAGTGGAAGGGGAGATATTCGTGGAATTGCCATGCGGGTCACTAATGTCATTTACATTCACAAAATCCTAAAAGGAGGAATTCAGAGGTTAAACATACAAAAGAAGCAAAAGGCATGCAAGAATATTAAATTTTGAAATTCTCTGTGAAGGTTAGTTTAGAGTGATACAGCCAATGCTGTTATATTACCAAACCATTTTGTGACATATTTTTTCAATCATCTATGCTGAGTCTTCCATGCTTTAAATTTACTACAATTTTCACTATCTCACTTTAATATAATAACTGCTTAAAACACTACCATATTCTAGAAAAACTTTTAAATATGTGGCACTCAGAAAATTTGACTATTTGAATTGTCAAGCATGATCCCAATAAAGAACGGGAATTAAGCTGTTTTTTTAAAAGCAAACAAAGTCTTTTAAAATATGAAGCTCCCTAATCAATAAACTACCATATTGTAATTAGATGAAACAAAAATATGATAGAATCTCACTTTTTCCATTCCATCAAAATAAATTCATGAACCATTAATAATTTAGGGATACGTTTGCAATCAAATGTTTTGCAGAATACTCTAATGAAGTCTATTTTGACCTACAATGATTAGAACAGCTGCGATTCTCAGTAAAAATAAGTAAGTGGTTAGAGTAGCAGCAACAGTAGCAGAAAAATTTTAGGCACAAGCAAGAACTGAAAGGATGCACTCCAAGAGTCTGATTTTCCATTCTTCCTTTCTAATATGTCACATTCTAGTGCAACTCTACTAACAATGAATGTCTGCATAATCAAAAAATGAATGATCACTGAAATATGCATGCAAATGGAGTAAGATGAAAAAAATGGACATGAAATCTAAGGAAACTGAAGATCATTTGGAAGGCCAATTATTTCAGCACCACACTTATAGTCTTATACTACATGCCGTTTAAAATAGTCTATGATTCCTCTGGATTTTGTTTCATTCAAATCCTAGAACTTGCCCAACCATCCTTGATCCAAAAGCTTAGGCAGAATGTCTGGAATGTAAAGGTTTGTGGTTCAAAATAATACATATTTCCTTTTAGTGCGTATGTCTATGTCACATTTTATTAGAAAATCCTCCTTAAAATAACTGACCACCTTTAAAATATTAGCAATTAAAATTAATCAGCTCTTCCATAGAAGTAGGAAAGTGCGTGTCATTTTTCAATGAACTTTATAAAACGGTTGCCATAATATGAAAAATGAGGCAGTTACCATATTGTTTCAAACCCTTTTCCCCAAATCTCACATTACCTCTTTTAGACTGCTGGGACTCAGAGGAAATCCTTTACCTCCTGATAGTGAGGAATACTTCTTTTCTAGATTGCAAAGATTTTCTTTCTCCTGTAGAAAATGAGTTATTTATTTATTTATGAGACTTATATACCGCTTTAAGTGCAAGCATTCTCTAAGCCAGTGTTTCCAAAACTTTACAATTTTAAGGCATGTGGACTTCAACTCCCAGAATTCCACAGCTAGCGTTGCTGGCTGTGGAATTCTGGGAGTTGAAGTCCACATGCCTTAAAATTGTCAAGTTTGGGAAACACTGCTCTAAGCGGTGTACACCAGTAAACAAGTGTGTGTGTGTGTGTGTGTGGTGTGTGTGGTGTATATATATATATATATTATATATATATATATATATATATATATATATATATATATATATATATATATATATATTTACATTACCCCCAACAATCTGGGTCCTCATTTTACCTACCCCGGAAGGATGGAAGGCTGAGTCAACCTTGAGCCGGTGAGATTTGAACCGCTGACCAAATGCATTTTCAAAACGTGTTTCCATCTTCACAGTATAGACAATACAGATATCCTTCCAAATTTATTGGCTGGGTTGGTTTTAATACCAACATTTCCCTCTACAAACCCTAGATATACACAAACACGCTTGTACTTTTCCTGATAAATCTGCTGGTATCAAATCCACTGCATGGTAATGTAAAGATTCATATACATTCCACTATTATGGAAAACGCAGGTACAGTTGGCTTCACTATATACATTTTTCACTTCTTCATTGAACTGTATATATTACAGACCTCTGTATGATACATGGTATCATACTAAAATGTGTTTACATAAATTTGTTTAAGAGGAAGTTGTGCAACATAATATAATTGGTATTTATCATTTAAAATTTAATTAAGTTCTTGGAAGAACAAGGAGGAATTGCTTACCCTCTGCAACATCATTACTAAATTGTTTTTTTCTTTCACAAAATGATCTTGTTCTCTTTGTGCTTGTTGTACAATGTGATTTGCTTGTTTTTTGAGAGCAGAAACCTTTTCCTATCATAAAAATAATGTTAATAATACTTAATATCAGCTTCAGAATATTGTTCATACAATTCCTACCCATCTAAAAGTCAACTTTACACAAATTTACAGAGAAGACTTAAAGTTGTACACCAGCAACATTTTGCTGTAATTTATTTATTTTTTTATATTAGTAGAAGTCCTGTGATTGGACTTCACATGCTTGCATATTCTAGCAGCACTAATAGCTGGCACTATCAATACTACTTCTACTGCTACTCCAAAATAGAAGACTAAGTAAAAAGAGAAGAATCATGGGAGGATATAACTATATGAAAAGTTATGGAACACATGTACAAACACAAATACATTTCTGGGAAAGGCACCATCTCTCTTAAAAATAAAAAAACCCCAAACCTTTTTGTTAAGAAACCAAGAAATGGAAATATATTACTTTAGATTATTTTTCCTATCTTAAATAATTATTAAACCTTAGTGAGCAAATCTAAAACTTAACAATTAACTGAATTGTTAGTAAATTGCTAACTTTTGTTTAGGTTAACAACTGCAATCAGTTGACATAACTAAACTATTCAAAGATAATGATCTGTTGTTTTTTTTTTAATTACCTTTCTACTGACAATGTTACGTTGATATTCAGCAACTTCACGCAGAAGCTGTTGGGTTAAATTCTCCTTTTCTTCATCTAATCTGCTTTCATTTTCAAGCTGCTGAAATTCCAAATCTTCAAAATGTTTGCTTTCTACCTCCAACAAGTCTGCATCCTTCAATAAGAAAAAATAAATGTATCAGTTTTAAAGGGATATTATTGCTTGTGAAAGTGACATAAAGCATAATCCAAATCCAAGCATAATCCTAGAGATTTAATTTTTAATTCTGGTCTAAGTCTATTTAAGCATGACTAAGTCTATTTAAGCATGTTTTTTAAAATACCTGTAGACCTGAAATTAAAATTATCATATACACCCTCAAAATAATCAATGACAACAGATCCATTATTTTATTTTAGACTAGTATCATGAACAGGTGTTTAGAGTGCTAAATATGCATTTCAAAAAAAAAAAAACCTTAAAATTAAACTAAGGGGGATGCCAATGTGAAGAATTGTTGCAATTTAGAATGGGCATGATTGTAGCTTGAATCATGAATAAACAGTTCTAAACTATTTGACTTCAGGTTCATGGCTCAGATTGGTTTTTTTTTAACCAAATTTCATTCTTAAGGGAAGAAAAAAAATCGATTTTGCTCTCAGAATAATCTGATCTGGAAATGTTTGATGGTTCTAATGTAAATAACCTTTCCATATTCCCAAATCTCCCACTAATGCTTCTTTTTTATTCTGTTATAAATTTAAATTCACAATGTTTGTATAAAATTAAACCAAGGCAGTCATAAAATTATATGGAATGATTAAAATACAATCTAATAGAAAAGAATCATTTGGGGGAAGGACCTATTTTATACATGTCTTAATTTTCAAAATGAATATGCATAGTTAAGATTTCTAATGCTGCAATAAGAATTAAATAAATAGTCATTCATGCCTAATTGAGAATTCTTTCCTCATCTACAGACAGATCTTATAGATTTCTAATCTGATTAAATATCAAAATTCCACTCCTACTCAGTCATACAGATCTTCAGTGTTCAATGCCACACAGTGCTAAGCCTTAGATGACTAATGTTTGAAGCTTGTAGTGCATAGCCATTGTTAATCCAGCTTTTGACATTCTGTTTAGTTGTCACCATGCACTTACATTCTTAACAGCAATATAGAAAAACAGCACTGAAGCCATGAAAAAGAGTTGGTTAGACGTCTCTGGACTTGATCTGATTATAATCACTAAAACAACACCACATCCATGCTACTGACCCTGTTAAGCTGCTGCTGTAATTGTTCCCTCATGGACTCGGGGCAATTATCAAGCTGAGTCTTCTGCTCGGAGTAAAGCTCCTGAAGCTTTTCTAGTTTTTCCCTCTCAGCATCAAGCTTTATTTTTTCCTGGAGTTTGAGCCAGAAAAATAAACAACAGAATTACCTTCAAACCCAAGCAGTAGTTAGTGATTCTGAAGGGCAAAGGGCAAAGAGGTGAAACTGAAGGAATGAGCTAAATGCTTCAAAAGAATGCTTTGCATGCTGGTAGGCTGTAGCTAATATGCATATTAGTGCAATATTCTGAATATAATTTTAATAACCTGGGAATATCCAAAAGATAGACTAGTCAACCTGTTATAGATATCTGTCAGTATATATTCTGCTATTTAACATCATATATGAAAAAATTAGATTCATCTCATAATTAAAAAAAAATCTTAAGTATATTCAGAAGATATGGACCTTTACGGTAATCAAAGAGAAACTGTCTTATAGTTTGGAACATATGGTAATTCTATGCTATAATGTTACATAAATAAAGTTGCCATAAAACATACTCTATGTTATATGATGTAAGGCTACCTTTAGCAACCTAGCTCCCTGAGGATGTGTTGGGGATCACAACTTTCAGCACAGTGAACAGAAATTGTGGAAGTCATAATCCCAACATAAACGATAAACCTTATGATGGGAATTTTACTAGTTCCATATTCTTCAAACTTATTTTTACATTAATGAAGATAAAACATTACTGTACAATGACTTGTATCTGTAACAAAGCCATACTCAGAATTGAGAACATATATGTTCCCAACATAAACTTTATTAATTAATTTCCATTCTTTGTATGCATTCTTAATTAGAAGAAACAAAATCAGTTAGATTTGTAATTATACTCCCGGAGCCAGGTCTATTTGGGGTTTTGTTCCAGATGTAGTGTTACTTTTAATGCTTTCAAGTTCAATGACACATTAAGCTATGATGAGACAGAAATTGTAACATGTTAATTTCCTAATGATAGAAGGAAAACAAGGTAAAAGCTTTACAGCAGGCATGTCCAACCTACAGCCCATAGGCTGCATGTGGCCTTGGATAGCTAGTAATGCAGGCTGACAAGATAATAAAAATATTTTAAAAATCCAAGGAAGTTTGTTATTTATATATATTAACTATATATTTTATATGCAGCGCAATGTGGCCCGGGTAAGCCAAAAGGTTGGACAATCATGCTTTCCATTGTGAAGAAAACAGATATTATTTGCAATGACAAAAGATAACAGATAAAGACATAAGTGGTCCTTAAGGCAGTGTATAAGCAGAGAAAGACAGATCATCCAACAATAAGTGGTTTGGGGCAGGAAATTCTGTTTCAGTGATCAAACATGCTGGGGAAAAAAAAGTACTTCAGCTGAAAGAAGCCTACCCTGATCAGATAAAATAAATTCTAAGCCAATTAGCTCCTGTCTCAAATATGGCAATACATTTTTCCATAGTTATGTAGATTTCTTTTACCCGAAATTCAAAACAGACTAAATTTTAAGGTTATACTTTTTTTTTTTTACAAAAAAATTCTCATAAACATGTTTGGTTTGGTTTTGAAAAAAAAATGACTACAAATACATAAAAGCTTCAATAATATTTCATCAATTAGATACTCATATAAGTCAGACATTTTGTATTACTCCATTGTCAATAGACCCTCATAGGCTTAATTTCCACAGGCAAGTATGTTTATTAAAATGAATAGAATGATTGCACAAAATGACCAATCATTACTAAAAGTTTCTCTTTTTTCTGAATATTCCTATGATTTTTGCAATAGGTTTGCTGATGGTACAAGTCTAATTGGAAGAATAAAATATTGTTATTTCAATCTGCTAGGGTTCTAAGAAGTCTCTTTCTTAATTTTTCACTGGGCTGCTTTATCTTTTTTTTTTCTAGTTTTCGCCTTTTGACTCTAAACTTGATTAGGAGTCACAGAATTAGTTCATTCGTAGCTAAATCTTCCTTTAGTCCTTTCTTTATTTTCATAAGTTCCAAGAAAAAAAGTATAGGGGCATCACAAGCACATATTCATATTCTCCTCTTATAAAGCAAGAAAAGGTTTTGGGAACAGCAGCCAAAGCAGAAGAGGTAAGCCAATATTTCACAGCACTCTACCAGGGTTTTACTCACTTCCACAGCTGGCCTATCTATGAGAACTGTTTAGTTTGATGGTACACTGAAAAGAAAAATACTCTGGAACATTCCAATCCAGCAGAAAAAAAAGCCATTCTGTCTCTTTCTCTGATTTATAAGCAAATTTTCTATAATGTAAAGCACATTGATTCAATATTTAATTTAAAGGTTCCTAGGACTCCATGGGCATGCCCTACTGTTAAGTTTCAGTTTATATTATAGCAGTATTGATTAACAAAAGAGTGTATCAATAACCCTACTGAATCATACCAAAGCCCCCTTTAGCCTACATAAATGTTCTTAAGCAGGTTGACTGAACAGGATCCATGCTGATTTTAAGTGTGTTTCTACATGCTTAGTTAAATTTTCTTTGATTGCTGTTTCTTATCAGTTTGCACACAACAGACATTAAGCTTGCTGGCTTATTAGATCTTCCTGGATCCCCTTTTTAAAAATCCATCGCAAAGCTAGTTTTCTATGGGTATAACTTTAAAACTTGTTTAGTCAATTTTTGTTTCAGGAAAGGAGCGTTGGCTTACCTGAACGCCTTTTCTCAGCATGATGAAGAAGAATCCACCAATGGGTTATCTTAGTCCTACTGCCCAATCAGACCAAGTTGTCAAGTTGTCACGCCTCCTCATTATCTGGGGACCTCCCAGTTTTCATCGACGGGCGAAGCCATTGACAACAGTACAACGTGATGACTCTCAAGCAGGTAGTAACGACAACTAACAGAACAACCATCCCACCCGGACCTGACTGACTTCTACTTAGGGAGGGCGTGGATTCTTCTTCATCATGCTGAGAAAAGGCGTTCAGGTAAGCCAACGCTCCTTCTCCAGCATGATTAAGAAGAATCCACCAATGGGACGTACCAAAGCTTCTTGAGTCCCTAAGGGTGGGAGTCAGTAGGGGCCGGGCCCCCAATGGTGTGACTATTTGTTGTAGGATACGTCTACCAAAGGCGGCCTCAGCTGAAGCAAACTTGTCTAAACGGTAATGTCTAATGAATGGAGATGGCAACGACCATGTCGCCACCCTGCATATGTCCTCAATGGACGACTGTGTTGCCCATGCTGCAGTTGTAGCAGCACTGCGGGTAGAGTGAGCCATCACATGAGGAGGAACTGGTAAGGCCAGGGAAACATAAGCGCTTGAAATACAGGCCCTTATCCACCTCCCTATGGTGGAAGCTGAAACCTTTTGCCCCATAGACGAAGGCTGAAAGGACACAAATAGTTTCTGACTTACGGAAGGGCTTAGTGCGCTTGATATAACATCGCAAGGCCCTCCTTACGTCCAAAGTGTGCCAGCGTTGTTCCAATTAATGTGACGGGTGAGGCCAAAAATTTGGGAAGATAACCTCCTGTGCCCTATGGAAAACCGTGTTAACCTTTGGAATAAATGAAGGGTCAAGCCTGAGAACTACCCTATCCTTGTGGAATGTGAATAGGTCTTTTCTAACCGACAAGGCCGCTAACTCTGAAATGCGCCTGGCCGAGGTAATGGCAATGAGAAAGGAGACCTTGAATGACAAATGTCGTAATGAGCACATTTTGAGTGGTTCAAAAGGAGTGAAGCACTCGGGGTAGGTTCCAGGAGGGATACCTATGAATAACAGGCGGTCTGGTATTCGAGACCCCTTTAAGAAAAGCCCGAATGGCTGGATGTCTTGATAAGGAGCTCGAGGAGTCCCATGACAAAATTGAGGACAGGGCTGCTAACTGTCTGCGCAAAGTGTTGGGTGCCAACCCCTTGTTGACGCCCTCCATTAAATATTCCAGGACCCTGGGAATCGTCACCTGTGATAGACTTACGTGTTCCTTATCACACCATTGACTGAAATGCTTCCACGTATGGTCATAAAGCCGGTTCGTTGCCGGTCTCCTGGCCGCCTGTATCATAGCAATCACCTCCGCTGAGTAAGATTCCCTGGTTAGGGCGCGGCGTTCAAGTGCCAGGTGGTCAGTTGAAGCCATTGTGGATCTGGATGTTGTAGATCTCCCTGTATCAGCCTTATTTGGCTGTCGGGAATCCTCCATGGAGCTGAAAATGAAAGACTCACCAGATCCGCGAACCATGGTCTCCTGGGCCAGTAAGGGGCGATGAAGATCACCTCCGCTTGTTCCTCCAGGAGCTTCCTGATTGCTGCAGGAAGTAGAGGCAATGGGGGGAAGGCATACAATAGGCCTTGTGGCCATCTGCTGCGAAGCGCATCCGTTCCCTCTGCTCCCCGAGAAGGGAACCGGGAAAGGAATCTGGGAAGCTGAGCGTTCTCCGGGGTGGCAAACAGGTCCATGATCGGACTGCCGAATTTGGCTGATATCTCCCTGAAGATATCTGGATGAAGCATCCACTCCGAATGATCTATTGTCGACCGGCTGAGGAAATCTGCCTGTCGATTTGCCTCCCCTGAAATGTGTTCGGCTCTGATGGAGAGCAGGTGTTTCTCTGCCCAGGTGCCCAATGCTCGGGCTTCTGTCATGAGGGATTTCGACCGTGTGCCCCCCTGCCGGTTTACGTGGGCCTTTGCAGCCACGTTGTCTGTTTGAATCAGTACATGCTGGCCCCTGACTTCTGTGTGGAATTTTTGAAGAGCTAGATAAATTGCTCTGAGCTCCAAGCAATTTATGTTGTGTTTGAGATCTGCTTGCGACCACCGACCCTGAGCTATCCGGGATTGGAGGTGAGCCCCCCAGCTGAAGAGACTGGCGTCCGTGGTCACCTGAAGGCGGTTGGGTTCTTTGAACAGGGTCCCTTTGCTGACGGCCGATGAAGTCCACCAGCCAAGGGAAACCCATACTTGACGGGGAACCCGAACCCGTCATTTGGACGTACTGGTATGCTGTCTTTGGTATGGGAGAAGAAACCACTGAAGCTCCCGGGTATGTAGCCGAGCCCACGGCACGATTGCTATACATGAGATCTGTTTGCCCAGGAGCTGAGAA